CCCTGATAAGTATCGATTGATCCCTCATTAAAGAAAAGGTGCGTCCTGATCATGATCATGATAGACTGACAACAGTCGAGAGTGGATCAATTTTTTTAGTCAAATTTTTCGCGTGTACAATTCCCCTGACGTGTTTCTTCTGAGGGAAAGAAAATTGTTGCTTGTTCTTGTTGTTGAGTGATTTAAATTCTGTGCAATTTTTAGCATTTTTTTAATTTTATGTTTTCTTTTCCTGATTTCAACAGGGAACATGCTGAAGCAAAAAGGTGTTGGATGGAAGCCATTATGTCCGACTGCAAATTTCCTCCTGATATCTTTGAGGTGATAAAATTTGATTTGGTGGACTACAATCCTTTCTGCGCTAACAATCGGGATCCTGGGGCGACCGGAAATGATGAGTGCCATGGCGTGAGGGATATATATATAAAGGACGACGTCAGTGCAGCCGTTGGTATAAAGATTAATACATCGCTGGCTCTGCTTCTTCCTCTTGTATCATTTTTGTCCGTACTTTAGGTTTAAAAAAATCAAAGAAACACTTTTGGGTGATCTCCAGATTTTTATGAATATCTTGTCTTGCATCTAGGTTTACCCACAACTCTCATCCGTGGCCTTGATACCGTGATCCAGAGGCGTAAAATCTGTGCTTGTGCGAACGATATTTTAATAGTTATATATATGTAATATATAATATATTTAATATATATATATATATATATATATATATTGTTTCGTTGATTGATATTTAATCCGTTTATTGACATTTGATTGTTTGATTAGCCGCGTGATTAACAGTCGATGGCGTAATAGCTAAGTAACTTGATCGTTCAGTTAGGACACGTTTTAAGTAATGCGAAATCAGAGACAAAGGTCATAAGCGTTTTGTACCTTACGGACTTTACGTTGAACGTCGCTGACCTGTAGAGTATTACTGTTCGATCTGCTGACCCGTTTTGCTGACCTGTTATTGAAATACGTTTGATTGGATATCGCCACAGAAGTAAGTAATTTGTTTTGTAACCGATTGAATTGAGAATTGTTAGTTCCCGTGCAATTTCATGAATCGCTCGCATTAGATTAGGTTTCTCAACAATTTTGTATCTTTCTTATAGATCGAATAAAACAATATAAAGATTATACGATTCCGTATCCAATCATTCGTCCGAGAACCATTTTCCCTTGGAACATATATATATATATATATAATTTTGGTGACGTGCTTTCGGGCTGTTAGAACCAAGTTGTCTCATATCAATTTTAAACAACCATATTAGCCGGTGAGTCACGGTGTTTTAAAACCGTAGTACTTTTTTGATGAAGCCAGTAAAAAAAAAAAAAAGTTAACTGGTAAATCAATAGGATACGTGAGATCATGGGGGTGTAAAGGGTTGAGCACTTCTTTCTTAGGAACGAGTTTTTTTTTCAAATGGAATCGATAGGATATGGAATGAACGTAGAAAGCGAACCTTGTCGCCCATTCCTGTAAAAAATAAACGTCTTTTGCTTCGACTCGAAAATGAAAATTTAAATCGGAGAAAGATGATGCTGCAACGGTTGTTTTTTAAATTCTGTCCAGTGGGGAGGGTGAGACACGAGGTCTCTTTTTGTCCTTCTTCGTTCAAGAATTTTTCTGTGAAGAAAAAAAAAATGATCTGTATTGATCGCTTGTCGTAATTACTTCGATCTCGTAGCTACAGGCTCCAGGCGTTTGTTTCTATACCCAACCCATCACAGACAGAACAAGAAAGCGAGATATTCTTGCTAAAAGGGACGATGTATCACGACGTTTCAGTCATTGGCTGCTATCCAAAAGCACCCTAACAAAGACAAACACAGTAAAGCTGCCAAAAAAAATCCGACTATGACAAGATCAAGAGGAAATGGACGAAGACCGGCTTGCCATTCTATAGGGAATGGCTACGTTCAAGGTCGGACCTCAGGTAAAATTCTGACGAACAATCCCTAACTAGCCAAGTGGACTTTGGATGGGCTCTTTGGAAAACACAAAAAACAGCCACCTTTTCTCAGAAAGCAAAGAATTATCTCCTAGACATGTGCTCGACAAGGGAGGAAGCTAGTAATATCGAGTTTAAGAGACAACACCAGCCAGAAATGTTGTCTAAGACTGACTGGTTGATACAGCAACAAATCGCTCGATATTTCAGCCGGTTATCTGCCGTAACAAAAACTGGTTTATTGACGAGGTCCCCCTCAGTAAATATGAACGAGGACGAAGAGGCCAATGCCAATGATCTAGCCTCAGAAGTCGAAAGTAACCGAACAAGGCAGAAGATAAGGAGGGACCTTGTAAAATTTAGACGAAGACTGCAGGAGGGGTACAGCTGCTTTTAAGCTAAAAAAAGAAAAAGACATTTGCATCTCACTTTTCTTTCATATTTATTGTCTTTGCTCACGAAAACAACTGACTATGTCCTGGGATTTCATCAAGGGAAATTTGCAGGAAGCCTACTGGTCAAATTACTGCTGGCTCATTCTTAATAACTTTTACAAGTCACGCAATTAAACGCCGGCAACACTTTACGATCGAAGGAGGCAAATAATCATAGAGATCTGCAGATTATTCTGAAATTGTTATCTAGCAGACAGCATGAACAACGCGCTGGAATAATTCCTACGGAGAGTCTTCGTGTCACGCAAAAGATGTTAGCTGAGCGGAGTTCTACATGGAAATGTTCGATGGCGGTAAGTGACAACAACAACACTATTTTAATTTTATTTTCGGAATAGAAGCACAGTTTTTAGTCTGGTAGAACTATTGATATTTGCTCTCAAAGGAGAGCGCAGAATTTCTTGTCTATAAAAGCCGAAGTTGTAGCACTCTGGAACTTGTAGTAATATCAAAGAACACGCAGCATGTGACTTTAAAATCTACTAAAATGAGCAATGATGATGATAAACAATCAAATTATAGACAAATGAATGTTTTGTGCCGTACAAAAGCCATATCTGCTGATTTTAGCAAATCTCTAAAGTAATAAACGACTGAAGAAAGAAACGCTACGATTTTCTCTTCGATTTTTCGCCTACATGCATCTCTCTAAACGTGAAATTTTCAATTACTACAAAAAACCTCGAAACTTTTTCACATTTTTCACCTTTCTTGATCAATCAAGAGCTAAAAAATGTAGGTTTATCCAGTCAAGTGACCGCCTAGAGCAAGAATTGCGTGACAGGTGTAGTTAAAAGAGAAACTTGTCACAGTCGTAGATTTTAAAAGGAATCCAAGACAAAAATACGAGAGTGTCCAAAGATTTTTTTGATGATTTTCAGAGATGAAATAATGGGTTATAGAGTAATTAAGATTAGTGTTGCAGCTTTCTGGCAACGGGAGATATTTGACCTCAAAGTTGTCAAATATTTGGATGAATCGAAAAGTCTAAAAACACAGTCGTATATTTGCCTCTGTTGACTGACAAGCCGTGAATCAAATTGACTGATACTTGCAGCAAACATTAACTAAGGATGTAAACATACGTGTGCAAACCCTCAGAGTAATTGGTTAAATACCATCGCAGTGAGAGCTTCATACATTTTACCTATTTTAAAGCGATTTCCTTGGTGAAAACCAAGAAAAACGGGGAGTTGGGGGGTGGTCTATTTACCCCCGGAAAAAACCAAAACAGAAGCTAGTTTGTCTTTTTGAGTTTTGGGGTAGACCCTTTAAACTGGCAAAGTTTCATTGGAAACAGCGAGATGGTATGTAGCACGACTGCCCGGTTCTCTCGTGGACACGCTCTTAAAACTTTGTTCATTTCCTAGCATGGCAGAAATCACCATAACCGAAACGGACATACAAAGAGTGTAAAATGTTCACATTTCGGAATAGTTAGCGTTGTAAATCGTCGCGTTTTATTTTTCGACCACAGCTAGGCGGGTTACCTCACCTACCTGGGGTCCCCCACCTACCTGGGGTCCCCCACCTCCATGTAAACAGGGATCGAGCGCTTATTCGGAGGTGCGCGGTTATTTGAGGAATTTGCCATTTGAGTCAGCGGTCAATCAACCCAATGATTCACGCTGCAATAGTTTGCATTCAGTTACCTAGACATATACAGAGGGAATTCAAGTAACTCCTCAGTTCCCTGTGCGACTCTCAGTCGAAAGGCGCTCAGCGTGTCCAGAATGAGCTACAAGACGCTGTTTTTCTTTGTTTCAGTTTTCTTCACCACTGGCTATGCTACCCGCTGGCCTACGTTCACCGACTGTACGCTTACGGAGTACCTCTGCGATACGCGTAAGTGCATGACACAATTCATCAAAAACGTTCAAAATGACACCGAAGGAGATTGTGGGTAAGTTTGTTTGATTCCAGGTAAATCGCGAAAGCTTTCCCTGCTTCTTTTTCAGGAGGAACTAAAAAGTCTAAGAAATTTTCTGGGTGTTGGTTATTGTTCTGGTGTAAATTTTTTTTACCGCGAGTTGATGATGCGATTTCAAGTCGTCCAGTCTTTAACTGGAGCACTACAGAGGTGCTAGCTTGAAAAGACGAAGGAGAATTTCAGCCCAATAATTTCCTGATGGCGTTAAAGTTCTTGAATTGCTCTCTCGTAACAGACTTTTACTTTTATGCCTTGATCTTTTGCGTGAATTTTGAGAATGTTATTGGCCATTGATATTGATACAGCTGTCTTCCCAGGGAAGCTCTATGTTTTCGTTTTGCCTCAAACACGCGCGAAAGGTAGCTTTTCTTCTTACTTCTTCCTCCAAACAGGCAGAATACAACTTTCAGATTATGTTTTCGTCGAGAGAGAAAAAACTGAAATTTGATAAAAATCACCGGAAACGATGAGAGCATAATTGTGAAGATAACTTTTGTTTTTGGGATTACCTCGCATCAAATAAGTCATTGCGTGACCCCAAGAAACTTGTGGTTGGCGGCTTTTAGCAGTATTAGCTCTGCTTCTTTTCAATGAAGGGATCAGTGACAAACAGCAGAATCTTGAAATATTTCTCCCTCAGGGAAAGAAAAGGAAAAAAACCTAGCTGAATGTGATGGCTCGAGAAAATTCCACAACACCCTTTTGACATTGGGTACCTTTGTCATAGATCACTATGGAAAATATCGTAATTCTCTTGCAGATTTGGGTGATGTCTCATGTAAGCTAGCTTGTAGAACAGGCGTAATTTTGGCGAGCGAGTGCTCAGTAGTTTCTTAACCAAAGTATGGCCGCCATCTTTGATTTTAATGGAAGCGGAAGACTGGGGAGACTTTGTATCAAGGGGGCGGTCGACAGTCCAAAACAAGGAGAAGGGTGGGGCTGGGGGAGCAAAGATCTCTTCGCCTTCCCCCCACCTCCTACCCCACCGTCCACTCTAATTCCAAATCAGTGAACTCCAAATAGCTAAAGCTTGAGCAATTCTAGGCCTAAAGCAAGTGTTTCCATCTTTTCCACTGCAGAATTCAGTACAATAAAACCCTAGCTTGCATTATTACATCGAACAAGATTTGTGGCAGAGTGTATTCTAGCGACTTATCCAACATGACGTTGGATGATTCGTTACGTGCAGGCATCATTGAGGACCAAATGTGTAAAGGGGCCTTTCTGGGTGAATTTCTCGTTCCCAGGCATATAAGCACTCTGAACGGGTACTGCTCAAGTGTGTTTGTCAACAACACAGAAGCGTGTTTGAAAACTTTCCATGACAAGTTTATGGCTAACAGATCGGACACCACTCTTTGCGAGTAAGTTATAATTTTTTATCGAGTATTTTAATGTTAATAAGAAATGCAATTGTCTCATCTTTACATGAGAGACAGATTAATATTTATCGCAGAGGGGGGGTTAGGAGGATTTTGGCCGTGCCACAATAAGATTTACGAGATCTCCCCCCTGATGCTCTGTAGTATTCTAATGATCCTTCCTAATTGGTAGTCAAATTTTTAAGCCTCCCCTCCCCTCTCCATTCCCCCTAAAAGGCACGTGATCCTCCAAAAATCCATCGAATCCCACCCCTCCCCTGATAAGAAGAGATTGGTCCCTCATTAAAGAAAAGGTGCATCCTGATCATGATCATGATAGACTGACAACGGTGAGAGTGGACCAATTTTTAAGTCAAATTTTTCGAGTATACAATTCCCCCGACGTGTTTCGTCTGAGGGAAAGAAAACTGTTGCTTGTTCTTCTTGTTGAGTGATTTAAATTCTGTGCAATTTTCAGCATTTTTTAAATTTTATGTTTTCCTTTCCTGATTTCAACAGGGAACATGCTGAAGCAAAAAGGTGTTGGATGGAAACCATTATGTCCGACTGCAAATTTCCTACTGATATCTTTGAGGTGATAAAATTTGATCTGGTCGACTACAATCCTTTCTGCGCCAACAATCGGGATCCTGGGGCGACCGGAAATGATGAGTGCCATGGCGTGAGGGATATAAAGGACGACGTCAGTGCAGCCGCTGTTATAAAGATTAATACATCGCTGGCTCTGCTTCTTCCTCTTGTGTCATTTCTGTTCGTAATTAAGGTTTAAGAGAATCAAAGAAACACTCTCGGGTGATCTCCAGATTTTTTATCTCTCATCCGTAGCCTTGATACTGTGATCCAGTCTGTGCTTGTGCAAACGATATTTTTAAAGTTTTTTTTCAATTTTTTAAAATTTTTTTTTTATAAAAACTCTCTTGGTGACGTACTTTCGGGCTATTAGAACCAAGTTGTCACATATCAATTCTAAACAATCACATTAGCCAGTGAGTTTTAAAAACGTAATACTTTTTCGATGAAGCCAGTGAAAAAATAAAAGTTAATTGGTAAATCAGCAGGATACTTGAGATCAAATAAGCTTTGATTTTGAAAAGTCTCGAGTTTTCATTATCCCTACTGTTTTTCTTTTACGGTGATCTATTGACGTTTAGATTCTTTCGTGCATATTCTACATGAAAGTGTCTTTTGATGTTTCTTTTGATACCGGCGAAAGGAGGTTTCCCTTGTGCATGCCCAATGTTTGGGACCGCCGTGTCCCAATATATATGAAGTAACGACATTGAAAGGGATTCTTTTTCGTGAAACTTTAACATATTCATGTTTGTATGCACGTTTCATCTTCAAAACGAGAAAGCATTTAACTGCATATTCCACTTTATCAGACAAGGAGCAACTGGCATATCACGAGGTTGTTTATGGCTTAAAGACTAAAGACTAAAGTCCAATTTATCCTTACAATATCACTGCTGTATCCCATATTAACTCATTCTAGTATAGAAAAAAAAGTGACAAGTGATGACAACCTTTTTTTTAAATTTTTTTTTGTTAACAGTATTTACATTAGTGAGTAGTGCTCTATCTCATTTAAGCCCTGAGAATAAAGGAGATGATAGACAAAGCTCTTGATTTTCAAGCAAATTCTCCTCGTCAATATAATGAGAAATGTGTGAATAATTGTATGGAGAATATGCATATTGATGTTAGGGTGTAAAGGGTTGAGTAATTCTTTCCTAGGAACGAGTTTTTTTTTT